CTGCCCCCGGTAGGTACAATTTTAGTTCTGTTATATTGAATGAATTGTGAAATCGTTTTGCGGTAAGTACCCGAAATAATTACAGACGCACAGGTGTCAAAAAAAGAACCGCGTGTTGTATTCATGAATGAAAAGAAAGAAATTGAATTTGCGTGTTAGTAGGTCGCCGTTGAGCAAACTGTTGTTAATCCCTATTGCATATAACAGGAATTGATTATATTTCTCAATTCCTTTTAGATTCAATTTCGTTTCGACAGAAATCTTACCTGCTTCCTTTTACGTTTAAGGATACCATTGATCATGTAAAGAAACGCTTTCCAAAATAGATATCCATTAAGCTACACTAAAACTCACACACACCGCACAAAAAACGGCACTACCTAAAACATATAACGGACAAACGATTCACTTTCATGTTGAACAAGGAATAAACATTAAATGTGAATCTGAACTAGGCACCTACTGATTACGCGCTTATTGTTAGAGTTATCCGACCGCGACTATAATGGAAAAAGTTATACATTAGCGAATCCTTCATAAAGAAATTACCAACAATCATTGTTAGTGGGAGTAATGCGGGTACATTATCTGATAATATCTGATATTCAAAAACAACGTTTTCTAAACTGACGGCTAAGGAATAGATGAAGGCAGTGTAGTTTATGTTGAATTGGTACCTACCTCAGCGGAGTAGGTATTATAGATCAGCGAGAAAAGAGCTACCAAAGCTTGTACCTATAGGTACCTAGACTTTATGTGACTGGTCTTTGACAAGATTTCTCGAAGAAAAGAAGGATGATGCATTTCCATCACCACATCACCAGTGGATATATTTCTTGCAGACGTCTCAATCGCCCTTTGTGAGTATCCTCTTCCGACAATCCGTGCTTGAGGTATAAGGGAATATACCCGATCACGATAAGAGGTCGAGAAGGAGGGCTATGGTTGGTAGAAATTAATTCCTTTCGTTGAGGACTTTCATGAGAGTACCATGATGGATAAAACTAGTTCCACCCCCCTCGTCCTCCACCCCGTACTTTGATGATAGGAGGACAGAAAGAAGGTAGAAAAGAAGGTAGAACATGTGCCCCCCCCCCCCCACAATTTCTTAAAGTTTAACTTGGCACCACTAAAGGCATGCGTATGCAAGTCGTATGTAAAAGTTATGCACGTGCTAAAAAGTTGTTTTGTGCATGCGCAATTTTTCTCAACTTTACTGACGGTTTTTATACAATATTGTGTGTTTCCATCAAGTCGGATATTGCAGCCATCATCAACGGCCATTGAGGTCGTTTTTAGTTCATTCGAAATCTCCTCTATTATAGCACCATCATAAATTGCATATACACTATCATTTGGCAACATTGTGCAACATCGGTCCTTTCATCGGCATAAAAAGGCGAATTTACCGAATTGTAGGTAGGTACCTTCTCATTTAGGTATGTAAGAATTGATCAAATACAATCTTCTATATAAATAAAAATGAATGTTTGTATGTTTGTATGTCCCTTATGCCTGCCTAAACCGTTCATTCGATTGCGATGAAACTTTGGATAATAGTTGGACGTATGTCCGGGAAGGTTTCTATATAATAAAAAAAAATCCGTCTGTCTGTACGTATGAATGTCCCTTATGCTTGCCTAAACCGTTCATCCGATTGCGACGAAACTTTGGGTAATGATTGGACATATTTCAAGGTTTTTGTGTAAGTAAATAAAATTGTATTCGTCCTGTCTCTTATGATGCTTCTGCCAGGTGCCTAAACCGTTTATCCGATTGCGACTAAACTTTGGGGGTTAGACGAACGTCCCTAAACTGTTCATCCGATTGCAGGACGAATGACTATATATCGAAATACTGGGAATTTTTTAAATCTGAGTACGATTCTAGCCACGACATACGATTCCAAACCAACATTCGCGGCAATAGTGTAAGAATTCCTATCCGTTCTAGGAGACGCAATAAAGTACAAATACGTACGGACGCAATAATGGTAGCGGGATATATATATATATATATATATATACAGGGTGTCCCTAAAAGGTCTGTACAACGCGCTACCAGGGGTTCTTGGTATCAAAATAGGACGATTTAACCCAACTTACCTCTATCCAAAAGTGCTTCGGTAAGGCGCTATCTACCGCCAAAGATTTTTTAAAAAAATCGTTATTTTTATTTTATCGGAAAATGGTTTTGCCGATTAAAATGAAATTCGGGATCTGAATGTCTAATGTAAAAAGGGTCTTTGTGATATCATCGTTTTGATTGTAGTTGCTATGTAGGTGGTAAAATACTGACCATCCACATCTGAAGAGGTCTAAAACTTTTTAACTACTATTTTGACGGTTCTGAATTTTTAGACACTGATAGACAGTTTACTTGCAAGCATTTTTTGTCTCTTGATGAATATCGCTAACTGTGATGGTTTACGAAAAAAAAAATTTAAGCATGATGAATGGCATGCACCATACATGCGATTGTTCCTAAAAAAATCAGAAGATGGCTGTGAAACAGAGTGGCGTAACGTTTGTTTGCTGTTTCTTCAACTTTAACAATTTACATTTTGCTTGAAGACTTAAAATTTCATTGTTAAAATTGTAATATGGCCTTTCAATACAGTAACGCAGAGTTAACTGATATGCTATTAGTGTTTGGATACTGTCGTGGAAATGGTCGCAAAAAAAACGTAAATTGTTAAAGTTTAAGAAACAACAAACAAACGTTACGACACTCTAAGATTTCACAGCCATCTTCTGATTTTTTTAGGAACAATCGCATGTATGGTGCATGCCATTCATCATGCCTAAATTTATTTTTTTTCGTAAACCATCACAGATAGCGATATTCATCAAGAGACAAAAAATGCTCGCAAGTAAACTGTCTATCAGTGTCTAAACATTCAGAACCGTCAAAATAGTAGTTAAAAAGTTTTAGACCTCTTCAGATGTGGATGGTCAGTATTTTACCACCTACATAGCAACTACAATCAAAACGATGATATCACAAAGACCCTTTTTACATTAGACATTCAGATCCCGAATTTCATTTTAATCGGCAAAACCATTTTCCGATAAAATAAAAATAACGATTTTTTTTTAATCTTTGGCGGTAGATAGCGCCTTACCGAAGCACTTTTGGATAGAGGTAAGTTGGGTTAAATCGTCCTATTTTAATACCAAGAACCCCTGGTAGCGCGTTGTACAGACCTTTTAGGGACACCCTGTATATATATATATATATATAAAAATGAATCGCCGCAATTTATTTACGCGCATCAAATTAGATAGTTCTTTTTTTGTTGTGCTTGCGTTATCGAAACATGTGACGCTCTAAGGGAAGCAAATAGGAAACATTTCCTTAAAAATGAAAACAAAGAATAGCCTAATTAATTTAGGAAAATAATCGTCAAGATATAAAATAGAAATTCGTACCTACCTACCCTATATCTGCAGCTGCTTTAAAAACATGTCCACAAACTCTATTTATAAAAAGGGCAAGGTTTGCCGTGACTACAAAATTCATTCCAACCTGTGCCTCTGAGGACGACCCAACATACAATTAAGCCATAAAGGGATTAAATTTACCAAAGGTTTAAGAAGTAATTTAAGATTTACTATAAACTACAGTAGGTACGACGAGGTACTTATTGGTACGGGCTTTCTCTCGCTTGGAAAGAGTGTCCAAGATAAGGATGTTTATCATGGAGATCGAAACCATAGATGATACGATGATGGTCAAATTAGAGAAAAGATGCGCAATTAAACTATTATTATTGTTCTTTAGAGAAAACAAAAAAATTCCGATTACTTCGGAAGATATGACAGAAAAACCGAAACTTGCCGATTTTATGTTTATTTTTTGCTGGTGTTATTTGAACATATACAACAAGAAACACAAAAGACGCTTTCTCATTGCCACTTATTTTTGAACTCTAGCTACAAGACAGCGCCCGCGCACAACTTGCGAGCATACCTATCGGATTAATTCTTGGAAAATAGAAAAAATATTAGATACGTATACTTGCACGATTAAGATGTAGATGCACCATCCTGTTGAAACCAACAATTTCCAACTTTTGTTTTCATTTGTGTGACGTACATAGTCGTAATAAAAAGTGCTACTAGATACAGTGTGTACTTTTTCCACGGGCCATATAAGAAAGTATAGTTTGTGATAATTTCTCCGAAACAAAACGTTGTATTAAGAATCTTCCAACGGTGCTCAAATAGGGGCAATGAGACAGTATTTTTTGGGAAGAAGAAAACGGTAGTTCTAGGTTCTAATGTAAACCCGAGTGTCTTCAAAAAGTTGATGATCGAGTCCAATACTCTACAGAATTCCTCTCGCTTTTGAGGTTTCGACTAGAACCAGCAGGATTATATTATGCCAGTAGAAAGGTCAGATTACCGCAACTTACAACGCCACCTGAACCACTGAATTCATTACTCCTTTCAGGGCAAAACCCTCTATCGAAGCATTTCTTGCAGAATATTCAACAGTTATAAACTGATGTGTATTCCAAATGACATAATTTTTTGGTGCAAATATAATATAATCCAAATTTTAAGGTATTATTTTTTTTGTAACCAACATCATACACATCCATTTCAACATGTAATTACGAATACGAAAATTATAAACAACCCGTGCGAAGCCGGGTCCGGCAGCTAGTTTTACATAAAAATACCTAATATAAGTAGCCCCCCTTAACAGTGCCTTGCGTGCCCCCAGTTTGGAAATCATTGATGTATCATAAGAACTCATTTTCACCACAAATCTTTATTTTTAAAAAAGTTGGCCTATGGTAAATCAAGTGCGGCGGACACGGGGGACATCTACAAAGTCTTGATCTGTCATTGTGATGTTGTTGGATGCTTGTTGCTTCTTGTTAACAAATTAAACTACTCGGTTTTTGTATGATATTTTAATGTCAGCTATTTCTTATCCATCATTTCCATGTCAACCGTTTACAAGGAGATCTGATCTAAAGTTATACTATAAATATTACAGTCATGTGACATTTGTCTAATAGGTTTTGATCCATCAATCATTCACAATGAGCTCGAAACAACTCAAAATCTCTGACAGGGATATACTAAGTTCCCTTACATCTGGGAAAGTCACAGAAGAAGAAAATCCTAGATTTGAAAAAAATATAATATTGAGCTCAGATGTACAACTTTGCCAAAATGTCGATGCCGTACATTCTCTTGTAACATAGTTGTGCATTTTGATTTGTTCCGCATATATTTTAGGATGACTCCATTGTTGATGAAGTTGTGCATTATTTATCACCCGCATCGATGTCGGTTATATCGGACAAAACAGCAACGCAAGAAGAATATTATGGTGCATATGACTATGCATCTCCCACATTTATGCAGCAGTTGCATGAATATGGACTCCACACCATTGCATCGTATACTGCAAGCACATCGTTTGTACCATCCGAACTTCAGAGAACTTTGGCCATAGTTAAACCCGAGGCAATACACTACCAAGATGTCATTCTGAGAGCAATTGAATATGCTGGTATAAAAATCATACACGTGAGCAGTTCAATAACAAACTAAAGATGATTGCATAATAATTGTTCTTTCAGAAAAGACGTATTCATCTAACTCCTGAACAGGTATCCGAAATTTACTCACAACATTATGGAAGCCCAAGCTTTCCACATATGGTTATAAAAATGAGCGTTGGGCCAATATTATCTCTTTGCTTAGGTGGTCTTGATGTTATCGACAAATGGAAAAATATGATAGGGAATAACAACGCTATTAGTTCAGAATGGTTTTATCCTATTAGCATGAGGAAGCGATTCGGATTGCAGAGAAACATTCCGGATTCTTTACATGCGTCGGAAAATTTGCCCGCTGCACTTAAAGAAAATAGATATTTTAATCCCGACAGTAAGAATATTTACTGATTTACTGATATTTACCTACTATACGTATGCATAATGCAAAATGGATATCATATTAAGAGACCAAGTAAAAATCCATTTGCATTGTTTGCATTAACCATTGTTGCAGCAACCTATAAGTTTCAAACTGCTTATTCAATGGTTATGTTGTGCTAAATAATTACTCTCTGCCCTGGTTATGTTTAAATTTGCAAGTGCAAATCGTTATTACTTATTTGGGTCCATTACTGTTAGAGCTGTTGTCATGCTTCACCCATACGCTATAAAATGAGGACCCATTTCATTTCTCGGTTTTCTCTGCATTTGCAATTGTATATCACTATATGTCAGTATGAATAATTCGTCAGAAACCTTTTTTTTAAACAGTCAAATTTAATAGACTTTTACTTTAACTCCTTTCCAACCGCAATTTCATGAAGAAAAAGCAACATTACCAACTTAATAAAAAGCTTTATTATATACACGTTATAAATAAATTAAACAAATATAGCAAACGAGCTCCTGGGTATGGCTATAGCATGTGCAAAACGAAATTTTAAACCTGATGTTAGTTTTGCTTTTATTTAAAGTGTAGATGTATGAAATTTCATTTGAATGCCTCCATAAATAAGCTGCGCATGCGCAAAACCAAATTTTGAAACTGGCGTTAAATTTACTTTTATTCCAAGTGGCTATGTATCAAATTTTATTTAAATCCCTCCATAAATAAGAAAGTTGGCACTGCGCATGCGCAAAACCAAATTTTGAAACTATTGTTAAATTTGCTTTTATTCCAGGTGGCTATGTATCAAATTTCATTAAATACCTTCATAAATAAGAAAGTTTGCAATTCGGTCTATAAATGGTCGAGATGCGCAAAGGGCACTGTGAATGCTGATCGATTAGGTTCAACTTTTGGAATTCTGTTTTATATGGCTAAAGCTATGCGCATATTGAATTTCATGCAATTCGGTTCATAACTAACGGAGATGTCAAAAGGGCCTACTTTATTTTCTGGGCTGCATTGCCAATTCACGAAATCCCATCTACAAGTTTAATAAAGAATCCACCTGCAAAATTTCATCGTAATCGGTCCATTCGTTTATGAGTTATCGTGCTAACGGACGGACGGACGGACACAACACAATTATAAACTCGCTAAGAGCTCGTTAATAAAGGATGCTTGAATCAAGTTTTAAATATTCAGATTTAGAAAGTTATGCTGCCGAATCTCTATACGCAGTGCAGTCGTGCAAATATAGTAAGTGAATGACTTTGAGGGACGTGCAGTTTAGGCTCAAGTCTATCACATTTGAGCTAATTTTTTATTTTATTTTATATTTCTATTTGCAATCAGTATAATTTACATTACTATAAGCAAATATGTTGCAATGTGTATGCGTTGCGTTGCGGTGGACACGACGCATACACATTGCAACATATTTGCTTATAGTAATGTAAATTATACTGATTGCAAATAGAAATATAAAATTAAAAAAAAAAAATTAGCTCAGCTAATGTAGGATTACACGTTTTCTTGAGGAAATCATGACCGCGCGCATTTCATTGGCAGCGTAAAAAAATGGAAAGAGATATAAAAAAAACTTATAGAAAACACATTACCAATAAAACGATTAATTTTCTACAAAAAAATCTATGTAAGAATAATAAGCATTTATTTCCCTAAATGGCAAGTAAGTGCTCCGGCATCAGCGGTCCAGACGTGCTTTTTAACGATTCATTCGTTCCCGCTTTCAGATTCGTTTTGAGCAATCGGCACAGTATTCTGCAAAAATTAGACTAAACAAAAAAAAAAGATTTTTGTACAAGCAAATAGACCAAGTAATTTTCCGTAAAACACTCCGCCATGACATATGACTATCTTGTTGAATTAAATGAATGCGATCGTGTCATCGTGATATTAATCAGAAAACATTTCAGGTTCCATTAGCGCAAGTGCGATAGACAGAGCCTAAAGGGGTCGCCACACTGAACGCGGTCTGCCCGCCGCGGGCAATCGCTTGCGATCAGCCGCGCGGTCAGGGCGTCGATTTCCGAAGATGTGCTTTGTTCACATCGACTGACCTTGATGTGAACGTGAATGTCACTGCATTCTCGAACCTACCACATCGAGCGAAAAGTTGATCGAACGCAACGACTGGTCTAGACCACTCGTTGCGTGAAAGTCATGCGCAGTAGCAGCTATAGGGCGGATCTTGCAGCTGTTTTGCTAGGGGTTATTCGGTGCCCTAACCTATACATTCACATATTTTCTGTGAAATAAAACATGGAATTGTTAGAGGATTTTCTGGTTATTAATAATAACAGTATCCTTAATGTAAAAACAGAACAAAATACAAAACTGACAAATGACAGTTCAATTCTTGTCTGTGATTGGTTAGCGCATAAAGTTTGTCCACGATTCGGGAATGCAGCTAAACTTGAACTTATCCCTATCGTATACGATCATGACGTCATGGCAGCCGGTCACATCACATGCACATCACGGAGCATATCGACTAACTTCGGGAATCGATACCCTGGTATGTCACACAGGATGCGGTCCACGCCGCGATTCGTAACAAAATTTAATTAGTAGTATAGTCTCGTTCATTATAGCATTAATGAATATCAAAATTCTTCCTCTGACGAGGAATTATTCTTGATCGCAGCTACCCTTGATAGTGAATCGCGAAGGCGCTGCTGGGTGAACAAGATTAATCAACAACGAAGACAGCCCGGCGACTGTAGCTTGCAGACAGACTAAACACTTTCACTGCCTGAGTGTACCACTCTGATATCTCGTTTCTGATTGGAGACCGCCCGCGACAGACCGCCAGAAACAGTTGGCGAGGCGATCCAAATCTGTCCGCGCGACGGATCGCGAGTGGACAAGCGCCAACGGTTGCCCGCGCGACAGACCGCGTTCAATGTGGCGAGACCTTTTAAACCTTTGATTATAATCAAAGGCCTAAACTTGACGTCTCTTTTCCTTAGAAGCAGTTTGTAGGCATAGAGAAACCGCACGAGTTTGGAATCTTATCAACATATTTTCTTTGTAATTTTAATTCTATGATGGCCATTTTCACAAATTTAAGCAAAACTTCCTTAAAATCCATGTTAATGCGTGACTGGTTGTCGTAGATTTTAAGATAAACTCAGCTTGTAGTACCTACATATTTCTATTCTTACACTATGATATAGCATATATGTTGTATCCCGCCGAAGATCAAATTCACCGTTTCGATTCTGGTCGGGAAAATATTGCGTTGCCAATACTTGCACACGTTGAATAAGTGTTAGTAAACACGAGGAAACCTGATAGTAATATAACAACCAACGAATTATTGAAAAACCTTACAACTTTATTTCGAATGACTTTTTATTATTTTTCTTACATTTGCTTCATTGACATTCGCCTACTCATATCAAAATTATTAGCTGTGTTGCGACATTCTCCCACCTGAGAAACACTTTTTTTTTCAGAAAGTTTTTCTCACAATTTGAAACCTACCTACATATTTAACAAACTCTTTGTGGCATTTTAATAATACGGCCACTACGTGTAATCCTACAATTATTACAGTCCTTATAATCATTTGAAACTGACTCTGTCTGCTTATCTTTAAGAAATCTTGAACTAGCTACTTTCGACTTTTCTTTTGTCATCTCCTGAACAGTAACAGCTTCGTTATCAAACTCTGCTTCAAGCTTTTCTTCTGGAACATTTGTATCACACTCCTGTGGATATAGTCTTCGATGGACTGGTCTAAGCAGCTCACAACGTGATTTTTTAATTTTCACCTTTTTTCTACCCACTAATATCCAATACCATTCCCGCAGCACACCAAACAAACCTTGGACTCCTAAACGACAAAACTCCTTACGTTTCTCCAAAATCAAATTCTGAACTGGGTACTTACTGGGCAAAGTAAGATATCTGTAGTCGTTTGTCTCATTTGGTCTATTTGCTACTTTCAATTCAATTCTAATTAAGGCAAATTCATTGTCTCTGGGCTTCAAACTTTTAATCTGAGTATTGCCAGAAAAACACTCTTTTTCCGCCTCTTTTACTTCTTTCACATTTACCTGAACATTAATAGTGTAGGGCCATTTTTCTTCACATACATATAACCACCGAGGTCCCTCCCACCATTTTGACAAGTTTGTTAAGTCTTTGACCCAATTTTGGAATGCTACAGCCGTCTCTTGGTCTACTTCAGTGTCCCATGTAATGTTTTTAGCCCAAACCTCTTGTAACCATAATTTTGGTTGTAAAGTTGCAAGACAAATGAAGCCTATGGGACCAAAAACGTTTTGTGCCATACTTAATAGTTTTCTCTTTGTCACAACGATATCTATTTCAATTGTGCTCCAAGTGTCATTTAAACACCACACGTCTTTCTCTTGAAACCATTTTAAGCCAAGCATTAAAATATTATTTTCAGTGCCACTTAAATTTCCCGAAAACTCCCAGCCCCTTAAATCGCATGGCGCTTCTGCCATGGCCTGTACAGATTCTTTGATGAACTTATTTACATCATTTCTACTTGACCCACTGGCTACGCAGTTGTTAACATAGAATGTACTGGCAAGTTTTTCTATTGTTTGTTGTGGATATTCACAACCAAGTAACATACCTTTTTCTTTAAAACAGAATTGTTTGCTGTCGTTTGAAACCGAACAAAATATGCATTTTACCGTACTGGTGTTGTTTACTAAACCAGCGGCAATCATTATACCCGCTATACTCGCTTTAGAGCTGTGTTTTTCATCACTGAAGGATTTCGATTTTTCGTATTTCGATAACCCGAAACCGTCGCTCGCTAGAACAATTCTCTGCTCGTTTTCAACCTCTGATCGCAAACAACGTAACAGGTTCTTAAGTCTTATCTCCAATGGTGACTCACTATTACGGTCACTTTTTTGTACACTCTGATTATCATCTAACTCAGCTTCAACATTACGACATGAATTATATGTCGACCTATGCCAAATTCTTAACAACTCTTGTGGCAGGCACGACTCCATCAGTGGAAACAAAACAGCAGCGTATTTATCAGAACTGATGCCCAGAGTGGCAAGCGCTCTTAACTGTGTCTCTATCTGATCATATAATTTAGTCAAATCCATTTTTTGACGCGAATCATTACATTTTAGAACTAGTCTTAGCAACTCGTGCACGTAGAACTCTATTTGCAAATCTCGCCCAAAACTACTTTTCATACACTCAATAATTTTATCGTAGTTTTCGCCAAGACTTGGTAAACTCTCTACTATCTGACGCGCACGACTGCCTGGAACTGTAGCTTGTATCAAGTACTGGATTTTGTCGCAGTTTCCTATCCCACTATCGCTGTGTATTTTTTTAAACTGAGACCAAAACCCTACCCACTCTCTTATGTTTCCATCATATTGTTTAAATTGCATTCGAGGTAGTTTAAATTTGTCCTTACCTGGTGTAAGGTCAATATTTACATTACCCTCGCTGCCATCTCTAATAACTGGTCCTACTGCAGGCTTCAACAGACACCTCTTCATTCTTAACTTAAGTTCTGTAAACCGTTTCAAGTAGACCTCTCGTTCATCCATAACTGGTCTTACTGCAGGCTTCAACAGACACTTCTCGATTCGTAACTTAAGCTCTGTAAACCGTTTGAAGTAGACCTCTCGTTCATCCATTTCTATCAACAACGCGTCCTCCTCCACGTCTTCTTCAAGCATTATGTCATAGATCCCATTATCACAGGCATTTAAACTGTCCCACTTGGTCTGTAAGCACTTCCAAAATAGTTCAACATTGCTACTCACCAAAGGAACTTGTATTAAATGTCCGTCTAACTCATTTGCGATCTTCATAAAGGACGCGCGGAGAACTCTCTGATTTTTCCTTTTTGATTTCAGGTTGTCAACCATTTTTACCTCTGTTTACTTTTCGTACGTACACTTATTCTTTTGCAACTGTATTTACACGCAATGTCCAGTCACGGTCGCCAAAAAATGTTGTATCCCGCCGAAGATCAAATTCACCGTTTCGATTCTGGTCGGGAAAATATTGCGTTGCCAATACTTGCACACGTTGAATAAGTGTTAGTAAACACGAGGAAACCTGATAGTAATATAACAACCAACGAATTATTGAAAAACCTTACAACTTTATTTCGAATGACTTTTTATTATTTTTCTTACATTTGCTTCATTGACATTCGCCTACTCATATCAAAATTATTAGCTGTGTTGCGACAATATACCTAGTAACTTTTCAGTGGTAATATGAACAATTTATAAACCGTTCCTATTGGTTTTAGGTGTTATTGAGCCGTTAATATGCGAGGAAGGAAATGTAACTGACTATTGTAACTTGTATGTGAATCCCACGTTATTAAAAGGATTGAGTGAAACGGTTCGTGTTAAACCTGCAGATCCCATATGTTATTTAGCAAATTGGTTGTTGAAAAATAATCCCTTCCAACCACAATACCCTGAAGCAATAGCAATATTACCAACTTAATAAAATGCTTTAATATTGTTATCGACGCTTTTTTAATAAAAGCATGCTTACCAAATCAAGTTTTATAAATTTTCGTATATTTTATTAACTTTGCTATCTGTATGTATAATTTATTTTAAAAATGGATTTATTTATATCAACTGTAATAAAACTGTAAGTTTTGGAAATAGATGGAACCAATCTTAAAAAATTCTTCAACTTGTATATAATTTTCCTTTCAGCAACATTAATGGTGGAATTTTTTTGCTTTTACATTAAGTTTGGCACACTGTATCTATATAAGCTTTTGCTTCTTAATTCCTGTACAGTAATTTCTACCGCTCCGTTTAATTGCAAGTTAAGTTTTTTGTTACTCTCTCTTTGATTAATTATAAGGAGGGGGGGATATTGTTTCGCTTTCCCGTAGATACGTAACGAATCCGCTTGTTTGCTATTCGCGCTTTGGGAAATTGCTGTACGGTTTATAGTCTAAAGAGCCCATGACTGCCAGACCTAAGTTATTTTATGAAAGCTGAAAGCTTCTCAGTGCATGCTTCCAACACAGGTACCTAAGTACAATACAATGCGGAGTACTATGTGCTTTGGACTATCGTGGCTTTGGCACGTAACAGTATCTGTTACTTATATCTTTGATATCAAAGATGTATAAAAAATGGCGTCTGGTCCATAATTTTCATTTTATATTTGGAAATGCATTGAATTGCTCACATCGTTTTTGTTTCCACCAAACAAATATCGAGTTTGCAAATCTTTGCCAACAATTGCATTCATTTTGCCCGCTTTACGCCTTTAGACCACACATTTTGTAACATTTCCATGTCTATTTTGTTACCAAAGCAAGCAGCACTGATACGTCTTATACTTCTACGTTCGGGAAGTATTCTTGGCTGTGTGGGTACATAAACATCCCCCCCCCCCTTCCCCGGAAGAAGCTGCTAAATGACGAACTTCCATATCGCTGGATCGGGCATACCAGTACACATGACTACACAACACATACTCCTTTTTGCTCACGACCCACATTTTTCTGCCTAATAAAAGTAATCACAGCACAACAGTTTTTTTGTCTTTCATCTTTTAACGTGACCGCAACCTGCAGCATGGATATTACTCTCGCCAGGAAAGATTGCCGGTCACAGCACATCTTATATCGATCTACAATCTATGTTTTCCTTAAAATGCGAGCGACTTCCGGAATAGGATCGTGCCAATGTTGAACGCAAAGTTTTTTTCGTTTAACAATGACCCGATACTATCGCTCGGAAATCGCTCGCTTCTTAAGAAAAACATAGATTGTAGGCCGGGATCAGGTGTTGTGACCGGTAATCTTTCCTGGCGAGAGGTTTAATAACAGCAACTTCAACCCTTTTATTTTATATAATCATCAATCATCATAATATTTTAATGTTTACAGATTGAATGAGAGGATCAATGATATTGTTGCGTCCCCAAACTAGATATCCTTTCGTTTTTCCTTTAATGAAAATACCCTGTACATAACCGTTTTGCCTTGCCTGTATATATTCCTATTTGTTACGTGTGCGCGCATGAGCCGCAATTTGTGTACTCGTACGTAGCGCAGAATTCGTCTTCGTCCGATTCTTCGCCGAGAAGCCATCGACTCAACAACGTTGAGAATTCGCCGTTCATCAATGCCCGATTAGCCTAGTCGCTCGCATATAGATCTCGATCGATCCACAACAAATCAAGATGTCGCCGCGCAACATCGTTATTAAGAAGCAGAACGTCAGCACCGCACATCATGAAGATTTCGTTGTAACAAAATCGACAAATTCGACAAAACCGTAGAAAAGAGCAATCTCTGTCATTGCAATTGCAAGAAACAACACTAGCCGTCGTGCCTACGTCAACCAAGTTTAATAGAAATTCATTTACTTTGTATTTTTGATAATAAACACGTTTATATTTTGTGTCTATATTATTTCGTTCCCAGCATAAACAAGGGCTTGGAAGTAATTCATAATTACAGTAGCACACTTACAATTAAATTCTTTGTTATCGAAGCCCCCTTTGTACGTTACAGATATTCTTTCAACATAATATGTGGAAATTGTGGGAAAATGAAGAATATCTTTACCCAAAATCGTCCTGAAACCTATATTTTCATGCCTACTTTCTGTCAGGAAATTTTAGTTTACCCAAAATCGTCATGAAGCCTTTATTTTCATGCCTGCTTTATTAGAACAGTCAAATTAGACCAAAAAATGGGCATTCCGTGCATCAAATTTTTTTCTTTTAAATTGGTAGGATGAATATGGTTGTGAAAAATCCAAGTTTTCGACATCCAAAGACCTGTGCGAGCGACACAGCACTTAAAAATATGTCATTTTTCTTAGTTCTTACCATTTTTTGGTTTTTCTAAGTTTTACTCCTGAAGGACCCATTTTAATGCAATTATTGTCGTATACGTTTTTGAACTAGACAAAATTTATGACAATTTAAGCCTTTAACGATCTCCGCAAGTCTTAGAGTTTCCGAGATACGGCGCTGCAACTATTTGTAAATTTGGTAAATTAGTTTTATTTGTTACTCAGTTGTAGGTTAAACGTTGATTAACAAGACAAAACGCAAACGGGTAAACGTCATGTTTAAACGCTACTGACTTGTAAAACTGACAGCAGACATGTAATAGTATATTGAAAGATAAGTGTTACAATGCGACCTATTGTAATACGACTATCTTGTGGCACGAGTGGCGACGCGAAGCGTAGCCACGAGTGTCCGCAAGATAGGAGTATTACAATAAAGCATTGTAACACGCGTTTTTCATACTATTTTTTCTATTTCGGTGCTTTAATTTAATTAAAAAAAATCATTATCAAAAACTATAGGGAACATTAGAACTAACATGTTTTATGTTGGGAACACTTTTTATGCCGTTAAGTTTTAGGTTGGCAGCGTAGTAAGACTGACATTTTGAAGTTCAAACATGGAAGTACCCAACGAAGTACCTACTTGTACTAACTAGTAACTGCCAACTTAAGAGATGAGTTACCAAAAAAAACGACTATAATCACTGTCTTTGTGCAACTGTTTTCGGCCGAAAACAGTTGTACAAAATCATCATTGTAACACCGAAATAGAAAATAGTATATTGAAAGACAAGTGTTACAATGCGACCTATTGTAATACGATTATTTTGTGGCACGAGTTGCGACGCGAAGCGTAGCCACGAGCGTCCGCAAGATAGAAGTATTACAATAAAGCATTGTAACACGCGTTTTTCATACTATTTTTTCTATTTCGGTGCTTTAATTTAATTAAAAAATCATCATTATCAGAAACTATAGGGAACATTAGAACTAACACTTTTTATGCCGTTAAGTTTTAGGTTGGCAGCGTAGTAAGACTGGCATTTAGAAGTTCAAACATGGAAGTATTGTACCTACTTGTACTAACTATTAACTGCCAACTTAAGAGATGGAGATGAGTTACCAAAAAAAAACGACTATAATCACTGTCTTTGTACAATTGTTGTACAAAATCATCATTGTGACACCGAAATAGAAAAAAAATTTTACATTATTAGCCAGGTAAGTGAGTTTTTACTGGCGATAGGAGAAGTTGACTGGCGAGCCTGTCATCTCCTAGAGCCAATAAAAACTATTACCTGGCGTATAATGTACAATATTTTTTTTGTTACTCATTTGTAAACAATAGTAAACGTAAATAATTAGTTCTTAAATTGACCTTGAAGAAATGTCTAAAATATCATGTGATCCATGTAACAGAGACTTCGCATTAATTCTGGCCAATGAAATTACTAGATTACTAACTTGTAAAATTTTTACAAGTCTGCTGTCAGTTTTACAAGTCTGCTGTCAGTTTTACAAGTCAGTAGCGTTTAAACATGACGTTTACCCGTTTGCATTTTGTCTTGTTAATCACCGTTTACAACTGAGTAACAAATAAAATACTATTACAAGTTTTATCACAATTTTCGTTTTTTTTTCGCAGAAACTAAACTTACCAAATATGCATGATGAATTGTTGTAAGTCGTGAGTCGTAATAAACTTGTTGTTGAAGAAGTGCCAAAAATTGCGGATAATGAAAGCAAATTAAATATTGATTTTTGTCTTTTAGTGGAAAAATATCTATGTTTATATGATGCCTTATTCAGTGATAATTCAAACCATAGTGTTGTGAGTAAGCTTTCTGCTACTGTCACAGATCTTCTATATTCGGTGTCCCTTTTGAATGGTCGAGCAAGATCAGGCAAAAGGAAAAAATTCACAGATTTCGCAAGCCATGCAACAGGTAGTAGATCTTGATGAAGAAGAAGAAGATGACAACTTTCTTATCATGGCAGAAGCTGGGGATCCAGAGCATATCAACATTCTAGCTCTTTTTTATGCGAAAAAAAGGATAATTTGATTAAAACTGAAGAATTTACAAATTTTTGAAACGCTGTATCTTCAAAACTATTAGACTTACAGAGCCGGTTAAGGGCTTGAATTGTCACAAATTTTGTCTAGTTTAAAAAAGTATACCACAGTAATCGCTTTAAAATCTGTCCTTCAGAACTAAAACTAACCAAAACCTAAAAATAATAGAAAAAATGGCGTATTTTCGAGTGCTGCGTTGCTCGCACAGGTCTAAGGATTTTTGACATCCATACTCAGCCTAATTTAAAATGAAAAATATAAATGACATATCTGATGCAAGGTATATTATGATAATTTGACTGGACTATATGTCACCGGCCCTATTCTTGACTCTACGTAGGTACTTATCAATGTCATTCGTATTGTCAACCAAAACGATGAACTTTGGTTAAATGATGTTCTTGACCGTTCGAGAATATTTCGAATTCGTAAATATCATTCGTTTTTACAACGAGCGCAATAAGCCACTCGAATTTATGCATTGTAACCTAAAATTTTAGAATAGGTTCCACGTTTTGTATAGGTACCTTGATAACTTGATTATATCAGAATGGATGCCTATCTATCTACACTTATTTACATAAATTTAGAAAATAATGAACATGTCCACCGTATTCAGACTGTGTAAAAATCCATTTGAGGAATTGAAGGATGAACACTGAACAGTTTATAAAAATGAAGCAACTTTATGCTTGATTAATTCCTTAAGCCAGACACAGATGGAGAGACTTGTCTTAAGACACGCACGTGTGTACTCCAAAATTTTCTGAAATCATCTTCCGCACGTTGATCACAACGCGCAGTGCGATGGTCTGTGGCCAGGAAAGTATATGTTCGCGGCGTTTTCTACAGTGGCGCAGATTGTTCTCCACGCCGTCTACCATGGGAGATTTATAAGAAACTGCAGTAAAGAGTCCTTATCTGAACTTATCGATATGTACCTCGTCCTACAGGAAGAGGAACCGTATCGTTTACGAAAAGTCTTTTTGTTCAACATTGGCACGATCCTATTCCGGAAGTCGCTCGCATCTTAAAAAAAACTTAAGATTGTAAATTGACACAAGGTGTGCTGTGACCGGCAATCTTTCCTGGCGAGAGTTATATTACTTTCGCCAGGAAAGATTGCCGGTCACAGCACACCTTGTGTCGATCGACAATCTATGTTTTTCTTAAGCCGAAAAGTCTTTTCGTTTAACATTGACACGATACTGTCCCGGAAGTCGTTCACATCTTTAGAAAAACATAGATTGTAGATCGGGATCAAGTGTCCTGTGGCCGGCAATCTTTCCTGGCGAGATGTTTATATCTGTGCCTTTGCTTTCATAAACACATTTGTCTAATTCTTGTTTCATCTTGTGAGATAAGTTTTAAATTGTGTTAGCAAGAATTTCATTCCAAAGGATATTATTTACAGGTTTTTTCTCAAAAATACTTAATTGTTAGAATTTGATCGGGATTAAAAAAAACGACAGGCTTCATTGTAAGAAATGACTAATAATTATAATTTATAATTATTTATTTTCACCTTAAGTATAAATTAACAGCTAGTAGATTAACAAATAGAGTATTAGGTACATAGTAGGGGAGCTAACACGAAATCCACTGAACGAGAATGATCAAAATTTTAACCGATGGTGTTCCATTTTGCCCTATCAGAGTATGCTAAAATCGATCGTCTGCCGCCTCAGGTCATACGACTTAAGGCGCTGCGGGTACTTCTTGTGCTACCAATTCTGAAAAGTTGTTTTTCGAGAAGATAAGTTATACACCAAATGAACAGGTTGGTAATAGCTCTAAAAAAATATTTAAAAAAATCGCGCACATTTGATAACTCCGTAAAAAAACAATTCTTAGTCGGTTTTTCACGAACTTTCTACGGATATAACTAGGTTACGGTTGGACGAATGATGCTGATTTTTTTTACAGACTGATGATAGGTACTACTAATGAATTAACGGTGTTTCGTTTTTAAATTTGTTCTCTAATTACAAGATTATCTTATTATCTTAACATTATAAGATATCTTATAATTAGAGAAAAAATTTAAAAAAGAAACACTCTCATAGTCATTGGCTGTACCTATCATTAGTCTGTAAAAAAAATCAGCTTCATTCTTCCAACGGTAACCTAGTTATATCCGTAGAAAGTTCGTGAAAAACCGACTAAGAATTGTTTTTTTACGGAGTTATCAAATGTGCGCGATTTTTTTAAATATTTTTTTAAGAGCTATTATCAACGTTTTCATTTGGTGTATAACTTATTTTCTCGAAAAACAACCTTTCAGAATTGGTACCACAAGAAGTACCCGCAGCGCCTTAAGTCGTATGACCTGAGGCGGCAGACGATCGATTTTAGCATACTCTGATAGGGCAAAATGGAACTCCATCGGTTAAAATTTTGATCATTCTCGTTCAGTGGATTTCGTGTTAGCTCCCCTACTAACATAGAAACAAATTAAAGTAGCTACATAGAAAATCAGTGATAGATAAAAAGATCTACTTAAATGTCATGAAGCGACACAGCTTAGAGAAATGATATTTTTAATCACATAACTTACAAATATGGCTTAACTATTTTTACAATTCAACACTTTGGTAAATATTCGATGGTATTACTTACTTATACAAAAATATCCAATTATCACTTATGGAGTAATTTGGCTCCATATGTTCTTTTTGCAATGCTCCATAGCCTGCAATAAAGAAATTGGCAAATATTAGCTTTACTGAAAGCCATAATACACAAATTGAGTAAATTTCAAGTGGTATCTGATGATGAAATGAAGAAATACATACCCCACATTCTGTCGCAGTGGCCTCAGACTGGCACCAATAACCGGGACCACGTGTACATTTTGTTCTGCCTAAGAGTGTTTGTTCATGCGGACGAATACTGTGTGAACCACAAAACCTTATTTTTTGACATACTTCAACCGGTTCCATTAAAGACGCCAACAAATTAATAATCCTATCGCCAAATACAGCAACTAAACCACGACACTGGAAAAATTTCTTTTTACTGTAGGTTTAGCAAATAATTAAGTACTTACAATGTCTTGGTTTTTCGTAGGAACTGCTTTGCATGCTTTTTCAAAAACATGACTTATACTATGATCAATGTTAGGATTCTCCAAAATTTTATGTACTATGTCAACAACAACTTCGCACACTGCACATTTACGTACTTGCACTACAAATATAATAACAGAATGATTGTTACATTTGCAAATGAACCCTACGTTGCAGCACATTTGTTGAGCACAGACCAACGATCGAACAAAATTCCGCTGGTGCCATAGCGTATTCTAGAAATGTTAGGATTTGTTTACCATACTTTTCTATAAATTGATCACATTTTTGTTCTTCGTGTGGGACTAACTTGCAAACCTCTTCCAGAGTTTTTAATATTTTAGCCTGAAAAAAAAATCAGTAATAATTTAAGTAAGAGATTCCGAATTACCTCGTCAACAGATCCATTTAACATCTTTTCAATTTGTAACATAACCACTTTACATAGAGTACATTGGGGAGATTTCACACTTGGTACATTTAAAGGTTTATGTCTCTCATAATCAATCATAAGATCTGTGACTTGTGGAATTTGTTCTTGATCTTTACATAAATGGAGAGCTTTGCATACATCGGCGGGTGATAAGCTGTTTATTAAAAGTTGAATCACTACGTCTTCGTATTGTCTTACAAAATCAAGACAGTGTGTTTTAATGTACTTGGACGAAAATGAATTACAAACTTTGTTTAGTAGTTCTTTAACTTCTTCCTAAAACATTACTGTAGGTACTCCATATGTTCCATTTTTTGAGGGTAAAACTTACTTCCGTAGCGTTATCTTTGAGTTTATTTTGTACTTCCGACATTAAAAATTCACATATTAGACATACATCAGCATCTACGTTTCTTTCTACGTTAGCTATCACTTTTCCATTGGCTGTGTAATCAATTATCTGATTTGTTTCTGAAAGAAGAATAATGTGTTTAACATCAGCATTAGATGGATTTGGAAACAAAAGCTTAGAATTACTTACATTAAACACTCATAGAAAAAAAGGAAATGTTAACATAAAATGACAATGACAAAAAATTAATTTGAATGCGATTCTAAGCCATTGTTCCGAAATGGTCTATTATGCTCGCCAGGAGAGAATGCCGGTCATAGAACACCCGATTATCTTACTTAAGTATTCATTTTGTAAAAATATGACTGCAACTAAATGGTGAAACCTAAATAGGTAGGGATGGATCAAATTTGATATCTGATGATCTTTGAATATGAACATATCTTCTTAAAACTCAGTTTTTTTTTACAATTAAAAAAATACGCTTGGACAATTCCACTTAAAAAATGCATACAACTTTACAAATTTCATGAAATTGTGACCTTTTTTTATGGTCCAACCCAGAATTGCATTTGGAGAAGTCTAACAACAAAGACCTTATTACTATATTACATATTTTAAAATAATAAATAATAAAAGATCATATGGTAAAGTCCCATATCAAAAAATTAAATGAAGTATTGAAAGAAAAAATGTTGCTGATGAAGATAAGTCAAAGTATGCAAACATAAATTGCTTCCGAATCAAATATTTACAACAGAACTTAGAAAGCGGATTGTTTATTTTTTAAATGCAGATTCATCCTATTCAACTGTCCACTCAATTGAAACAAACCCACACCTAAATAAGTTTCAATCCTTCCAAATATGCAGTTATGATATATCAAAAGTCATAAATCTACAAAAAAACATGCACTATTTCATATCCAAGAATGAATAAACACTATCCTGAGAAGAACACACATAAACAGAACAATAAGAGTATGTCTTCCTGGGTTGAAGAATGAGCACAAGTACTGTAAGTTGCGGCTAAAGTTATGGGAATGGCAAGCAAATATTTAACATTATTTAAAGTTTGATCGGGAAATCTGGTCGAATTCCATTTCCAGTATAAGTCAGAATTTAATAGAGCTGTTTCATTTGAATTATAGATTCTTGACAATTAATTTAATAATTAATTTTTTACTTATGGAAATTTTCAATTTTTCAAGTTTTAGTCATAGTAAACACATATCGGCTACAATAAAAAAATGAAATGTGCGCATGCGCAGACTGCGGAATGTCAACTTTCTTACTTATGGAGATATTTTTTGTGCAAAAACACTAGTTCACTGATAGCCTTCATCTGTAGATGTCCATACTATTGGATCCCAGATATTAAACATAATTCTTTTATAAATCTTTATCACAAAGAACCTACATGTATAACTAATTAACTACTTAAACTCAACAGAATGAACCTAGCGGAAGTTTTGACCACTTCTGGCAATAAGGATGACCGTGCTGAAGTTAGTGGGAACAATGGTGCGCCTCTACCAAAAATTGTTAAGAAATCTTGACAAACTCAAAAAATAAACCATGGCGAGGCTTTTTTCTTTTTCCCACTTTGAATGTTGGTTTTGTTTTTGTAATAAGAAAACATATTTACATTTTTTGTTTAATTCAACAACACTGTCATAGGCGATGTCAGTCAATCCTTACTATCATAAACAAATACTACCACTTTATACGCAAAAATCGACCACGTCTGTGTACAAAATATTTACTTACCAATATCTCTTCCAATTTCCCGTTTGGGAGCTTCCGTTGTAACTTGATCTTGACAAAGTTTGAAATATATGCAAATATCTTGGGCCGAGAGGTCTTTAAGTAGTAACTCCACTACCTCATCTGTGTAGGTCTCGACAAAATCATTACATTCATCAGCAACAACTCCATGAAGGTGAGAGCACAATGACTTTAATCCCTTTCTTATGGCTTCCTAAAATGAGTCACAGAATAATCAAAGAAACACTGCATCTTATTTATTCATTTATTAAATTAGTACAACTTTCAGAACTGAACTGCCCTTCATGATTTCTTTACCAAATTTCAAAATCTAATAAATATGTAATAAGGTAATTCATAAATTACTTCTTATATACAAATACTGACCTCTGTTCTTTTATTCTTTATCACTTCTTCCAAACTGGTAATTGCCAGCAAACATAATGCACATTTAGGTTTTGCAGATTTAGTCGAATGCGTAAATACTTCAACATTGTGAACCTTGTAGATGTCTATGGATGGACAAAGGCTTAGTTTAGGACATACAGTGCTTGGATCAATATCTTGAGCTAAAATGGCTATAAAAGCTGGTCCATATGTTTCAACGAAACCTTTGCATTCATCTCTTATTGTGGAAGGCAATCGTTCACAAGCACCATCAACAATGTGTTCTAGTTTTTCCTACACAAATATTAACATAAAGCATTAATTCAATTTACTATAATAATTTACTTGGGTGATTGGATCCGTAATAGCTTGTTGAACAAACTTTAAAAAGTATGTACAGAATTCGCAAAGCTGTGTATTGCCCATCGATGTGAGAGTTTGAGGCACTACACGTTCAATTGGCAATTGCAATATCTCAGGAGGTAGCAATTCTAGTGTATCTTCCAATGGATTTTTGGTGTCTGTAGGAAGCAGAGGAAAAATAGGTGCAGCCTAAAAATACATAAATCCAAGATATCTCAAGATTCCACGCTAGAATTGCTTACATCACTAAGTTGTAAGCCAGGACCCGGACAAATTCGAACAACGGAGCACACCAGCCCAGCATCTAATTCATTAGCTATGAAGTTATAAATTTCGGTGAAATATTGATCAACGAGACTAAGACATTCATCTTTAAAGGAATGCGTTTGCTTACAGATTCCTTTCAATACCATACGAAATTCGTTTTCCGTCGTATTGGCGACCAAAACGTCTTGTAAATGATGAACCAGTTGTTTACATAGTTCACATGGAAGTTCATCACCACTGGAAAAAAAACAACACTTAGGTCGATTTACAAATGGCAACTGACCGATTGTGTTACCTGACATGGATAACTCCTGTATTTGCTAATGGTGTGATTTCAACATTGGCGTGAGTGTGGAACCTGGCCTTACATTCACCCGACATTAAGCAAAATTGTTCCGGATTCAAATTTGCGTTTATGTGGTTGTACAGTTCGTTGAAATGATTTAAGATTAAATTACTGCAAGCGTCTGATAAGCTGCCCAGTTTGCCACAAATCTGTAACAAATATACATACAATGAGATATATATCACCTTTTCTGCACCCAAACTCAACTTTGGTCTTAATTGAACCGGTTATTCCAATAAGAAAAAAAATCATGGGGTGGGCAGGGTCGTAGTTGTTAAAAATATATGCTCATTGGTTGAATCTGCTGTTTTCAAAATAAGTATATGGAGTCAGGTGAAAAACTTATTGGATTGTTTAAATGGAAGACCCTGTACATTTTATTCTTAAAAGATAACACTAAAAAAAATAAAAAAAATCAGTATTGATTCAAAAACATTCAAGAGGGTTTTGAGTCTTTTGAATATTATCCCCGATTTTTGTTGATAAACTCTTCTAATTTGAATTTCATTATTTGCAATAAAAGACCAGCAGGTTGGGTGAAATTCAACACTTTATTTTCTCTTTATTGGCCGAAATCGATTGCGATAAAGAGAAAATAAAGTGTTGAATTTCACCCAACCTGCTGGTCTTTTATTTCATTATCCCCGATGTTATATTTTTGAAAAAAGAATTAATTTAGTATGTTATCTTTTTAAATTAAAATTTAAAAAAATGAGGTTAGGTCCGGTAACGTTTGTACATCACCCCATATACTTATTTTGAAAACGGCAGATTATTTATATTATACAAAAACTATTAGTGCTTGTTCACAATGGACATAAGCGTAACAAAAACATAACAGATACATAATTCATAATGTTGAATAGTAGCAAACCAACGTATGTGTTCACAATGATTACATAATTTTTATTTTTTTGTAAATGTTTGCGTATGCTTTATGTCCTATCGAAAGGGTACATAAAGTTGGGTCGGTTGCAACTTTACGTAGGTTTTATGAAAAATCTAGTGGAATTAGGTGTATTTCTGTTGGGTACAAAGATGCAGCACTGCGCTGTTGGTTTGACATTTGAGTTACTACGTCTAACGTCGATGGCATCTCTTCTGCCAACATAATCTGGTTATTTTTAAATTGGTACATAGTTTTTGGCGCATTATTTCATAATTTGGTGTGGTTTAGTCCTTCGTGTGTTGTTCTTTGATTATATCCAACACGACATTGAAAATATATAGACGTCGAATTACTAATTAGTTTGGTGCGATTAAAATCCTAATTGTTTAATAAAGGGGACAAAAGATATAAAGTTAATAGGTGATCGAATAATCCTGGTGTATGAAAAAAACCATTCTTCATCATGCAGCTTCATTTCTAGACACGCTTAAATTCTTAACTTCTCCCCTTTTCTCTCGGTCTTGATTTATAGGTCTGACCCACCAACGCCGTTTTTGTTTTGTAACAACTTTGTCTCTCTGTCTTCTTAACAGTAAAAGCAATAAAACTGTTGAAATTTCCATCTCGGTGACACACACATATACACCACAAATAATATTGCTATGTTCTTGACGTTTTGCAGAGTTTAAATTTCGGATTTGCGCCTACGCAGATAATTATAATCTTACGGTCACTGTGAACACTTTCTCCACCTGCGTAAAATTATGTCTTATGTCAATATTATGGTTTATGTATCTGTTATGTTTTTGTAACGCTTATGTCCATTGTGAACAAGCACTTATACTGTCCTTTAACTAAGAAAATATATGGTCATTCTGAAATTGAATTTTTTGATTTTCTGCCGGATCTCTTAAGCAAGCAAATAATTTCCTTGAACTCTGGCAACACTACTCAAAATGCTGCCATTTTCCCCAAGATTTCCCACACATGTTTAATATGTGGTATATTAGTTGAACGTTTGTCACATTCTCTTAGTATGTCTAAATCAACGGTTAACATTAGAGATGTTACGGAAATTCGATTCCGATAAATTTTCATTGAAAGTTGTATCTGAAGTTGACGCACAACGGCGCGCGGCCACAGTTAGTGTGTTCGCATACAAACAAGTTTACACCTGTCGCTCGGGGAACTTGCCTCCTGTTGATTTCTCTTTCACTTGTTGTTTTGAGCATTAAATATATTGTGCTTCTTTTGATTTAATTTACTACTCTGTTTAAGATTATAAATTCGATTTTTATTTAATACCTATCTGTATTATTTTTTTTCGATAATAATAATATATAACTGATGAATAATGTGTAATTTTATTTTATTAGGCATCTCTCTTCTGCCTCCTATTCTGCTTCCCATAAACCAAATTTAAAAACTCCGCTTCCGATATCCGATGCTGCTTTAAAATATGGTCTTAGAGCTTTACATGAAATCAGAAACATTTCTAACAACGTGTATACTAATGTGATAAATGGCTTAAGCTTTGTTTTACAATTACCTGCAGAGCGGTTTGTAGAATTTGATCTCGTGACGCTTGTCTGAAGTTCTTCTCTACTATCTCAATAACTTTATAGCATCCTTCGCATGTGTTGAGTGGCTTTTGACGTTTGGAAACCATGGCATGTACTTTGCTATCTTCAGCAATTAAATCATGAACTCGTTCACTGTTACAAAGACCAGCCACTGAGCAAACAATTTGGGGATTCATTTGCGACGCTAAGGTGTCTATTAGTTCTGGTGCAAACTCATCAGCTATCCGGCAGCATTCTTTTGCAACTATAGATATTGGGATCAATTTGCACGAACCTTCAAACACTTCCTTAATTTCTTCCTGAAATCAAAATCAAATTTTTATGCGTTCACCAAAATAATTTTGATGGTCTTTAATTATTTAATTCTATCCTACATTTTATTTAAATTTAATTAATTTTAATTACGTTATTATTTTTCTTTTTCCACATTTCAAGATCAGCGTGTGACAACAATCGAAAGATTAAACATAGAAAATGACTTACTTGCGTTTCGTTGCTTAACAACTGATCTCGTGCTTCTTTCACCATCTTCAAGCATGTTTCACATATACTGCTATGGTCTGGAGGTAATTTCTGATGGATCCATACTGTTTGAATGCAATGTTTTGTTGCCCGGCATTGGGCAGAATTTCTAAAATTTATTTATAATATAAGTGCATTGGTAAAATTTTAATCCTTATTTAAAATATGTGAGCAACGCACACTGGTGCAGTATAACAGACTGCTAATTACTAGTACATATTACATTTTTTTTTTTGATAATCAGACCAATACGACCTTATTTTACCTGGCAATTGGAAAACAATAGTATATATACAGGAGTGATAAAAATTAAGTATGTAAAAAGCTGAAAAACAAAAAACTCCCAGGCGCAGCATTTGACACTTTCAGCTAATTTGTACAAAATGCTTGTTATGACCCCTTTGCCACCTACCCTTTTTTGAGGCAAACTATATTGGAACACCATGTATAATATCAAGGGACCAAAGTGCATATATTAAGAAGGTGAAAGGATTTTATTTGACTGTAGAATCAAGATGCATTTCAAATGTTACTATTGATAGAATGTAGATAAACATCGGTTTAAATTAATGAGTAGAAAGGAATAAGATGACCCACGATGAGTTCGGCTGATTACACCTGGGAATAAATTTCTTAAAATGAGTCTATTTTATATGACATCAGATTGTACCAGAAGTTGACTCCCACTTCGTTCATTTAAATTAATTTTTTCATACTAGAGCACATAAGCTATTATATGGAGAAAAAACCCGAAGTGGATAGCATATTGAAAACTGTGAAATTTGGTATGAATTTGACATATTAGGTAAAGCCTAATCTCATCTCTCAAACGAAATACATACGAACGAGCATACAAAATAAAAAATTTGTTAAAAATGCGCATAAGGTTCTTCGAATAATAAAATTCTTCCAAATAAAATTTGAATCCCATGGCATAAATTCAGCACCTAAATTTGTTGTATTTAAAACACAGTGATCGTTAATTGCACCAACATCTAATTAAATGCTGCCAACGTCATTTTTACATCCAGGGCTCGTGCTAGTTCCAGGTCGGGGGCCGCGGCCTTAAGCCACAACAAGCTGGCCGTGTCACAACTGGGAAGCAGCGCGGTAGATTCCCGGAAGGGCCGCTCAGCCGGAACGTGTGTATCACAAGAGCCACACGCTGCGCCGTCTGTGTTTTGAGTTTTAAGCTCGGTTTTAATTATGAATAAAAATAGTTATTTATATAACAAGAGCGCGAAGTTCAATTTCGCGCATTGAGACTGAACGTATTTTGACGAGGCGAAGCCGAGTTAAAATATCAGTCAAATGCGCGAAATAACTTCGCGCTAGCGTTATATACAATATTTTTTCTACAACTTAACCGATTGTGAATTAAATTTGCTGTTCAGGTTCAACTTTGTCACATGCGCGAAATACTTTTTTTCACTGTTGACGGTTTCGCGCTCGCGCAACCTTACTTATTAATTAACCGTTTGAAAATTTAGTACTTCGCGCTTCGAAAATTTGTCAGAAAATGACAGGTTTTTTTGACAGTTGCAGAAAAAATTTATTTTTTCCCTTACATTAGTGGGTCTGGTGAAGTAGTGGTCCAGTACGGCCCTGCTTACATCCTTTATATTGTAGCGAATATTCTAGAAATCCCGAAGACATCGAGGTGCCATGAAAGATTCGTCATCCACAATAAGAAACTAAGGTGGACGTGACGTATTCTTTCTGGGAAATATGACGTGTTTTTTCTAGAATATCCAGAAGCGTTCGGGAGCACTTGAGAACATTCCAGAAAGATATTGTTTGGTATATTATCACATGGAATTGTTTCGAGTCAGTTCTATCAGCGTTGCGGAAGTCAAATATTGGTGATAAATAATAATTAACTGTTATAAATTAATTCATTTCAAGATTGCTATAAATATATTGTTATTATTATTTAAATAAATAAGTCAGGTGATTAAATTTATGTTACAATATGCAATTTTTGTCCTAGCAATAAACATTCCCTTATGTCGATTAGGCTTTAAAACAGCCTATTCGTGGCATAATTACACTACCACAAAAATAAACAATAGGTATTTTTCGATGTGTCGTGTTTTAATAAATGATTATGTAAATTTTGCTTACTATTTGTGGCACAAACTGTACATAACATCCTTGAACATGGCACGATTTAAGATATACCGCTTTAAGGTATGCTTGTCGTGAGCGTCGTAATTACACTGATCACAAATAAAATTTTTCAGAAGGTTTATTGTTATAATATTAATAAATATTTAATGAAAAGTCTGGCGTAGGTGTAAAAGAATGCAACATAGCTTGCATTAGGCTATTGTTTTTAGTAATACTTAATGGTAATGGGCATTTTCTGTCTACTATATAGGGATCGATCGACAAGGAATTTTTGCAATGTCCAAAGCCGAAAAGATGTATTTTAAAGATTTCAATTTCGTTTAAGCTGTGAGCAATTGGAACACACCGTCAATTATTTTCCATGTTTATTATTTCACGACGGCGGCGGCACGTCGGTAGAAGATCTTCACCTTGGCGGCCATCTTGGATTTGATTCGCGGGGCCAATCAATGTCAATTAAATTGATTTGTGGAGTGGCCCACGTGATATGGAGGTGTTTTCGGGGGATAATTTGTTTATTCCGGGAATTTCTCGGAATTTGGACTTTGATTTGATAAATTAATTAAGAATTGGTATGATTTTGAGCTTCATTGATTTAATTGATGACGTCATCAATTAAATTGATTACTACGTACTTAATAGCTTAATCCGCGGTTTGATTAATTTTATTACCAATTTGATTTCTTGAATTTCCTCTAATTAGTTTGATTCGCGGATTAATCAATTTGATTCGTAGTTTAATTTCATAATTACCGATCCAATTAATTTAATTCATGGATCGATTAATTTAATTCGTGGATTGATTAATTAAATAATTATACTACCAATCAAATTAATTAATCCGCGAATCAAACTACTTAGAGATAATTGCAGGTTTTCCCGATTAACCCCTCTTGTCGCCATCTGATAATTATATGAATGTATCAGCCATTGCCGGCTGATACATCCATATCGACCATGCGTCCGATATTAATATCAGTATCGGTCGATCCCTAGTAAGTATTATATGTTAGAGTTGACTTTTTTAATGATGCCGTGCGGCCCGTAAGTTTGGTGTTGCACCAGGGCCCGCACGTGACTTGTTACGTCTCTGTAATTAAGCCATAAAAGCTGATAAAACCAAAGACCCATGCATTCCGATAAGTATCTACAGATTGTAATGCAAATATATTCAATAGTAAATAAGAAAAGAGATTTGTCACTACACAATTACTCATATGAAGATAAATGCTTCCAGCTAGAATATAGTATAATCAGCAGTCTGACTCACTACTTTAGTGTGTTTGCTTTATAGCAATCAGAATGATGAATTGGCTTCTCAATTTGGATAAATAGGTGGATAAATAAATACACCCACTCTGTTATTTATGAATGGTAAAATATTGCTCACATAAGACTTTTGCACCAAAAGGCAGGTCCATAAGTACATTCTTTTGATCCCAAGAGATTAATCCTTTGTGTGTTCACAATGGGCTCTTCGGTTGTGGTTGTGGATTGGGAAAGTGTAACTGAAAAATAAATGCGATTAAAAATAACTGTAAACAAAAGACATGTTTATCTTTAGCATAGCAGATAACCTTCTGTCCTGAACTTGTGCAAATTCTTATCTATTACACCCAAATTGAATGTGATTCCCTTCTGTATTATTAAAAAATGCAGTATTATGAGAGGAGGAACCATTTGCAATTGAGCACAAATAGTATAGCTGTACAGCAAGCAAAATTACGACTACATGTAGTTAAGGGATGAAACAGTCTTCAAAATATGAAACATTTAATACAATAAAAAATACTTTTGTAAACTTACCTAAAAGCGCAATACTCGCTAACAAAAAAAGCGTCTTCATGATAAAAAAATTGTCACTAACAAAGATACATACAAGAACTAATTATAGATTGCAATTACTTGTAACTTATTGACGTTTGTACTAACATTTGACGGTCAAGTCAGCTGATTAAATGCGCAGCCGTTTGTCATTATTGGTCATCGTTCGGGAAAACTCGCGATCTGCCGTGGGATGTGGTTGTGTTGAAGCACGAAGAGTTTACGACATTATATAGGGTGATCCAATTTTCTTGAACGAATTTCTCATTCCATCCAACCGTTATTCGTTTTTAATGGACAGTTAAGTAAATTTGTCATTTACAATTAATAAGATGAATATCATAAATATTCAGTTAAACATTAATAAGCAACATAATCGAAAATCTTTTGTTTGTCATTAGCACTACTGACATTACAATAAATAACAACATACTAACTTAACTACAATCTTATAAATTAATATTCCAACATCCCTTCTCGATTGCAACATTACTCGTAGTACATAATGCAAAATCGCTAAAAATTGTTTACATCATTTTGGCATTTACTCTACATTTAACAATTTCTCTTTCTCCAGAACCTTAGTAATAATGTATATCATGTAATGTCAATGTGTTTGCTTCGTTTCGAGTTTTCAAAAGAATTCACCATACAAATTGCACTTTTATTGTCTACACAAAACACCGTACCTTTTCACGACACTCATGTTTAAATTCAAATCTTACGCCTCTTAAATAAACCGCCTCCAGCGCTAAAGTTGCCGGAGCTATTTTAGATACTCAACTTCTGCCGTTGATAAAGTCACACAAGATTGCTGTTACGAATGCCATGTTACTGGATTTCCTCCAAAAAGTACCATTCCACCATACTAACACTTTTTCAGATCCTCCTCTAACCTGCCCAATCCGCGCCAAATTTTTACTTCCTCTATCATAAAACAAACCTATTTCTTCAAATATAGTAATATTCGTTTTTTCCACTATCCATGCTTCCTCTGATGGATTTGCAATGCATTAATATCTGGCTTGGAAGTTGTTGCCGATAAGTTTCGAAAATGGTTTATAATAGCTATTTATACTTATATCAAGTACATAAACTAGGTCTTTATCGACGAGCCGTTTTTTTAGCCGAGCGACAAATAAACAAGGCGAGCCCCACAATAGCTATTTATATATCAAGTACAATAAACTGGGTCTTTATGGACGAGTCATTTAAATAAAGATGGCGAGTCCATAAAGACGGTTTATGTACGCGGTATACAGTGTGTCCCAGATCGCGTGGGATTGCATGGGTAACTTTGTTATTATTAAAGATAGAGAATTGGTTAAATGGGCAATGTTTTGCAGTGTTGGATGCTTATTTAAAATTCCCTTATGGAAATTCAAAATGTCGCATAGGTACGACGTAAATTCAAAAAAACTAAAATTGGTCATTTCCTTGAATGTCTTATATGATCGAAAGTATAAGAGATATAAAAAAAAGTTTTATATAAAAGTGACTGTCTTTGATACGCTTAATTTAGAATTGAAGTCAAAAAAAAATTTAAGATGGCCACTTTTGAGGAACATTTACCAACTTCCTAAAGTTAAATGGGCGCCATATTGGATTTTTAGATTACTTGATAGATTTTTTAATTCTCTTTTCAACGAGCTATCATAACATAAGATTGAAAATAAGATACCAATTATATTAACGGTTCTTGTATTTTAATCAAGTAGTCTGTGACGAATAAAAAAAAACAAAACAAAATCTATTCGAGGCAACAAAACAATGAAAATAATTACACCAGATGTTTAAAATACTGGCCATTATTAGTGAAACACACTTCAAGACAGTTTAGTTTAGGCAACGTGTTGCCATTGATTATTATTATTATTATTGTAGTGGTAGCTACTTCCACTTTACTTTTATTTTTTAATTAAGTACTTACTTTTATAATTTAATGTACTGTACATAATTCGTGAATTGTGACCTGAGCAGCCAGCTTGTTGGTAGGTAGCATATACCAACCCTTTCTTCGAAACATACGTTGTCGGGAAAACTCCTTTAAGGAAGTTTATTGGAGAATTTGTAAATCATGGTGAGCAGTTAAAGATCCAACGAAGCTAACCGGTCCAATTACATGACTTCCCATTATGCCATAAAATACATTAATTTAAAAAAATATTACTTGATTTCGGCGTGAAACTACATCATGTAGGTTTTCCTGTGACGAGTATAGTGTTCATTATGTCGATTTGAACACTCCACAGTTAGAAAAAGATTCTTCTGTCCATATACTCGGACTGGTAAAACTGTTAGTTTTGATATTCTTGCGGATAAACCACCTACTGACCTACAAAATGTGACCTGGGACAATGCATCAATGGTAAAATAAAGCAAAGTGTCTTGAAATGTGTTTTTAACTAGATAATGGCATGACATTTTTTCGAGGGGATAGTTTGTAGTTATACCACCATTTGTAGGTATGTAAGTATGGATAATAAGATAATCAATAAGTGATGTTATAAAGTCCTACTTATATAAAATTTTAGAGGGAGTTGTAATGCCCAAACCCCCCTCTCATGAGTGCGCCCCTGATTTTTTAAACATATGATGTAATTATTTCCATTGTTTTGTTGGCTCGAATAGATTTTGTTTTGTTTTCTTTAATTCATCACAGCCTACTTGATTAAAATACAAAAACCGTTGATATAACTGGTATCTTATTTTCAATCTTATGTTATGATGGCTCGTTGAAAAGAGAATTAAAAAATCTATCAAGTAATCTAAAAATCCAATATGGCGCCCATTTAACTTTAGGAAGTTGGTAAATGTTCCTCAAAAGTGGCCATCTTGAATTTTTTTTTGACATCAATTCTAAATTAAGCGTATCAAAGACAGTCACTTTTATATAACTTTTTTTTATCTCTTATACTTTCGATGATATAAGACATTCAAGGAAATGACCAATTTTAGTTTTTTTGAATTTACGTCGAACCTATGCGACATTTTGAATTTCCATAAAGACATTTTAAATAAGCATCCAAAACTGCAAAACATTGTCCATTGTCCATTGTGGATTTTTCTGCTATAAATGTTTTCCGTTTAGGAAAGCCAAACCAACCTAAAAATCGACCAATCAAAATAATTTTTCAAACTGAACTTGATGCAAAAAACTTATTAAAAAATAAACCAAAGATTCTCGCTCGAAATAGGGACATTCGTATTTCTTCAGATCAGACCCCGGCCCAACGTAAGTACCTTAATGATTTGAGAGCTACACTTTTGGAAAGGCAGCAAAATGGAGAAAAGGACCTTACCATCAAATACGTCTTATAGGAGTGCCGAAAATTGTAAGTATCAAGAACTCAAAAAACTAAATGTTTCGGTTGACCTGAACTTTTATTATCAAAATGTTCGCGGTCTTAATACTAAAATTCATAAACTTTTTTGGGAAGCTACTACGTGCCCGTATGAAGTTGTATGTTGAGTGAGACTTGGTTGAACGAAAACATAAATAGCAGTGAGTTGTTTCCCGGTAACTTTACTGTCTTTCGGTGTGACAGAAACTATAACGTGCTAAACGTTTCAAGAGGCGGTGGTGTGCTAATTGCAGTTAACAACGACTATTGTGTGGACTCTGTTCGCTTAGATCTATCGTTTTTGACGGATGCATTTCAACGTATAGAAATAGTTGGTTGTAAAGTTTCGTATAGGAACATCTTTGTCTATGTTATTAATTTGTACATACCTCCTCATTTATCCAGCATGGAATATTACAATTTTTTGGAATCTCTTTCTTTTTTAAATCAACTCTGTGGTAATAAGCTTATTGTTTTAGGCGACTTTAATCTTCCTAATTTTGTAAGTGAAAATTGCTATTTGGACATAAAGTGCAATCACCTCTTACAATTATTGCAATATATAAATTGCACGCAATTAAGTGAAGTAGTTAATTTGAATGGTAGGATATTGGATTTAGTTTTGAGCAACATTATTTTCAAAGTTTGTAGTACTAATATTCTTATAAATGAAGATCCACATCATCCCGCTATTGACTTTAGTGTAAAACTAAACACCCCACGCGTAAGCAACTTTAAAGTGGAACACAAAACTAAAATATATAACTTTAAAAAAGCAAATTTTAACAATCTATATAACGATATTCTTAATATAAATTGGAATATTTTAACAACAATCTCTGATGTAGATACCGCTTGTCTGAAGTTATATGAACTACTGAAATCAGTATTCGATCAGCATGTACCTGTATATAATCATAAAAAGAAGAAATTTCCTTCGTGGTTTACCGTAGATCTTATTAGAAATATCAAAATTAAACTCAAGTTACATAAACAATTTAAACAAACTGGTAATATTCGTTATTATGAAGAATTTAAACGTGTAAGGTCAACAATTAAAACTCAATTAGAAGTTTTGCATAGAGAGCATATGGCTTCAACCGAAGACGCTTTATCTTCAGACCCAAAATACTTTTGGACATATTTGCGTAATAAAAAGGATATGTCACGTATTCCCGGAAGGGTAACGTTAAATAATCAAACTTATGAGACCTCTCAAACGATAGTCGATGCTTTCGCAACGCATTTTTCTCTTGTTTACAAGAACTCAGTTCCTTCAACACATCATTATATTCCTCTATGCTACAATTATTGTATTAATATTGATTCAATAACAGTAGAAGACATAGAAGCAGCTATCCGAAAGTTGAAGAACAAACCTACATCAGGAACGGACCAAATTCCCGCCTATTTAGTCAAGGAATGTTCCGATATATTTTCATATCCTTTGATAATTTTATTTAACTTATCCCTAAAGCAAGGCATTTTTCCAACAATATGGAAAACGGCAAGGGTTTGTCCTGTTTTAAAATCTGGATCGCCGTCAGAAATTGAAAATTATAGACCAATATTAATTAATTAATCAATTAAATATGTATTCTTTGTAATTTCTCGAAAGTTTTTGAAATTGTGTTGTATGAAAAATTGTTTAAGCAATTTAAATTGCAAATATTTGAACATCAGCATGGTTTTGTTCGGCATCACTAATCTTGCCTGCTTTACCCAATATTGTTCGGAAATTATGGACGAACAAGGACAAGTCGACGTAATATATAAGGATTTTCAAAAAGCGTTTGAT